AAGCTCAACCAAGCAGTTAGCGACATGAGGTACAACTAACTGATGACAAGACAAGTAATGAAAAGAGCCAAAATTGAAGCCCGTATTGTGCTAGCTATATATAACACGCATAATAACCAGACTAGCACTCGGCCGCTTAAACGTAGTGGTTCTGATACAGTTTGCGCTAGCAAACAACAAAGTAGAAAAGCTGAGAAATCATTGAAGTCCACCTTGTCACAACCCGCACACCCGATTACCTATATATACATGAACTTACGGTTACAGCTAAACAGCTGGCCTCTGTAGCTCAGTTGGTTACAGCGCTGCACCGGAATCGCAGGGCCGTAGGTTCAATTCATACCAGAGGACCTTGTGCTGCATTTTTCGCAGTCGTTCCTGGTTAGGTCTTAAAATGTATATATACTCACTATATATAATCTATATATACTACAAGTTATATTAATTTCATCTTTTTCGTCGAGTTGGACAACAAATTTATTTACGAAATTTCCCGAGCGAATACAAAAGTCATTCCCTTGCTGATCGTAAATAACAATCTCGGCATTCTTCCAAGTCTCTTCAGATTCTGTGTCCAGTTTCGTGATCGTCGCTTGGAGAATTCGTCTGAGGGTAACAACGAGCGTTGGATCGTCTTGCTGACCTTCGTTCCCGCAATGTTTCACTATCAGTTTACCAATAGTACGTTTGCTGATAACAGACACCGTTTCCTAACATTATAAACACAATAATTCGTTATTTATAATGCACTTTACTTGCATATAAAATCACGTACGAGCTAATGTCGCTCAGTTTTTTATTTGCGCATTTAATTTTGCGCATTCTAAAATGGTAAAAAACTCGAAAATCGGCACTTATGACTTATCATTTTGCACCGGGTATACAAATTCCTTCGCGGTCATGATTTCCTTTGAGCTAAATACCTTTATCATACCTTTTCAGGTTTATTTTGCACAGGAAAGACCTTCTCTTTGGAAAAATGCACAGAAATCTTGGCTAAATTTTCACAGCAAATTTATGACAGACAGGGATTCTGCAGTTAGAAAGCGTGTTTCAATCAGAAATTTGTATGGTTCTCGATTCACAAAGAGTCAGTTTGCGCCGACTCGCCAGAATTTGTTTGCGGTTTAGAGTAGTACAAATTTCCATAGTCGCAAAAATATTAGTTGTTAGAGTAGCTCTCTCCTCCGCAGAGGCTTACATGAAGTTTCTAGTGAGGGAAAAGTGAGCGCGCAAGGAGTGATGGGAAGAGCTTCATTCAATCTTCCCATCACACCGCGCGCGCTCATTTTTATTCAGGGAACTTCATGTAAGTTATTTGTAAATACTTAAGGAGGCTCTGCGGAGGAGAGAGGTTAGAGTAGTACAAATTTCCATAGTCGCAAAAATATTTGTAGGAAATTAATTTCTGCCAAAGCCAAAGGTAGTTGTTGCACCCCTATCAATCTGAAGCATTTAAACTCTGTCTGGTGGCTTTAATCCCCTCCCCTTGTGCCGCCTTCTGGAATGGATTTTCGCACTTGATGGTAAAATACAACACTAATGAATGCTTCATGAACAGTTGGATATCCGACGAAGAATGCGTGATTTCGATCTATATCAGTGATTTCGATACGTAATCGACAGTGATGGCTATGGCACAGAATAGATACAGGACCAGAAGTGTCACTCAGAATGTCACTCAGACGATATTTTGTCCGAAATTTTACGAGTGCTGACGTGAAAATACGCCATCATAAGACGCCATCCTGGAGTGCACACAGAAGTTTTTCATAGGAAAACATAGGTACAAAGTGCCGGGAGCACTCCAGGATGGCGTCATAGCACGCAAAAAAATTTCGGACGTTTTAGATAGATAGATAAACTTTATTTAATCACGCTGACCCCGTCAACCGAAGCTGATTTCCACGAGGGGCGTGCGAAAAGTATACAGAAAAGAATTTTAAAACTATTTACAAAATTATATAAGATATATAGTATTATATGAACTAACAAACTAAGGTAGTAATCTATATACAGGTAATATTAACATCTATGTTGATTAGCTATCAGTCAATGTGAGTAGTGATTTTCTTTCGAAAGGAAGAAAAGGATTTGCTCTCTCTTATTTATTTAGGAATAGGTGTGATCCGTCATACACGAAACTTTTTTTCATATTATTAGTACGTGGTTGTGGTAAAGAAAGACTACTTGTAGTTTGTCACCTCACCCTTATATGTGAAGAGATTACTGAGTGATTTGGGTCCCATTTTATTCAATAATTTGTACATGATTTTTGCTTTACTTTTCTTCCTTTCTGTTTTAAGTGGCTTCCAACCCAATGCTTGCAATGCAACAGAGGGACCTATGTCTTTGCTCATATTCAAAATAATCCGAGCAGCTCTGTTTTGTAGTTTTTGGAATCTTTTTGATTGCGTTTCTCCAAACACATCCCATACTTCACAGCAGTAATCAAAATATGGGCGAACTATTGCATTATATACAGAAAGAAGTGTTTGCTTATCAGCAAATTCTTTTAAACGCCTAAGAGCCGATATTCCAGATGTAATTTTCTTGCAAATATTCTCAGTGTTAGTTTTCTAAGATAAATGCTGGTCAATTGTCACTCCAAGAGTTTTAGATTCATAAACTTGTTTAATTGACTCGTTTTCAATTTTCACATTTAGTTGCAAATTTGAAATATTTTTTTATCATTTGTTTTGAATCAATTAACATAAACTCAGTCTTAGCAACATTTAGACTAAGTTTATTGGCAATTAGCCATTTCCTAAGTTTTTCCAAATCAGAATTCACTGCAGTTTCAAGATCAGTAATAGAGTTTCCAGAAACTGTCAGGTTCGTATCGTCAGCAAACAACCGAGGTTTTGTTTTATCCAGGCATTATTTCAGTATTTTGGTGTCATATTATTATGCAAATAATGAATGTTTTCATTCGTACAATAATAAAAACATTTTCAATCGGTGCATGAAGGATGGAATTTTCCCATTGTACAAATTTTCACCATTGTACTCATAAATAATTCATTATTTGCATACTATTCCACTGATGTAAACTTTTACATTTTTATTGGTTAGCCTGTAATGTAGGCGTCAACTTCGGCCTTTCGCCACCACCGCAGCACCTGCCTGCAAGGCTACTCGTTTGGTGCGCCTTAGTGCAAAAGTTCAGTATTATACCAAAAAACGAGTTTATCAATTACTCTTTTACGGCTACGTACGCCTTCAATTAGGCACCGCACTTAATGAAGCACCTGGCTTCGCATAGAGTTGTTCCACAACAGCTACATTACGTCTCAAATCTTTAATCAGCTCCGGAAATTTTTTCGAGCGCCTATATTGCGGTGTTTTTAAGTTCTAAGTCAGTGTACTTCAATGCTCTCTGATTCAATACTCCATGAAGGCAGACACATATAAAACTAGAAGTCACTCAGGATCTGCATCATGCACAAATTATACAATGGGCTAATTATGTATTCGATTTACTCTGCCCGGCAAAGCGAGAATTTCTCATCCAATTTTCATCCGAATTCAACCAAAATTTAATCAATTTGGTCTTGGTCAATGTACATTAGTCCCACAAATTTTAGAGTTAACACATTTGATATTTGTTAAGTTATCGTGCCGATAAACAAACACACACATACAAACAAACAAACGGGGTTGAAAACTGTTGTATCCAAATGCTGATTGGTCAGCTGAAGTGATTGACATATAAGATTAGGTCACGAGACATTAGATTAGGAGACGCTAAGCCAGAGAGCAAGTATAGATGTATAATATAGCAGAGTAAATATATGTTATAAAAGTTG